GATTGGGTCTAGATTTTTACGTATATTGGGGTATTTTTGTCTCAAAATTTATTGTTGTGTTTTCCCTTTACTTGGTATTCTGATTGGTAATCCGAATTACCATATTAGTTTTGGTAATCTGAATAGTGACTTTTCTTTATAAATTAAATTACCGGTAATCCTTGGATATCCGGGAATTGATTTTTATTTCTTCTACCAAACATAATAATTACATTTACCAAAGAAGGATTACCGGTAATCCTCTTCAAATACTTCAAACAAACACCCCCTTAAAGCTTTGGTTATGCTCTGCGCTACCTATAAATTCTTTTCAAGCTACGACAAAAGTTCTATTTCTACACATCAACTTATTATTACAAATTCTTCTCTAAATTCGATTATAATTGACCCCGTTGATAGAAACTCTATTGTCCCTTTTCTCACGTCGTCACTTATAATTGTTAGAACCTGAATAAATTTGTCATCATTGCAGACTTTGAAGTATATGTTGAAGAATTATCTCAAAAGGTAGGACCCAAAAAATAAAAGGGTGCAGATGATACCACGTTATTTTTCTCCTATTTTGTTTTCATTCTTTTAATTCAATATTTAAACTCAGTTTTTTCTTAATACGGTATTTAAAACTAGATTTCATAATAAAAACATTGATCGTTGAACATATTGAATTTATTAAAAAAAAAGTGCAAAATGTAAGCTAACACGTTAATGCTCTACATAGGGGTGTGCAAAATGACCAAAAAATTAAACCGAACCATAAATCAAACCATGAACCGAACTAAACTCCACTTAAAGTAACCGGTTTCTAAAAATCAGTTCATGAATCGAATCAGTTTTTAAAATCAGTTTAAAAACCGAACCGTTTTGAACCAAACTGAACCATTTTCAAATCGAATCAAACTTTTTTTTGTTACTTTATTTTTTAAAATTTTTAATTTTTTTTCTTTTCAGAATACGGTCAACCCGAATCGGTTCCAAACCGAATCAAACCGTTTACAATCAAACCGAACCACTTTCAAACCGAATCGAACCATTTAAACTAATTCAGTTCGATTTTTCAAAAAATTCGGTCCAGTTCGACCTATGCACACCCCTAGCTCTATACACCAATAGCCTACATTTTTATTTTTATTTTTATTTTGGTATGAAATTATTTTTTAATATAAGGAGGTTAATGATTAAAATAGCATTACGAGAGGGTTACTTCACTATTAAGAATGAATTTATTACCAAAAAGAAAGTGAGTGAATTTTTTATTACACAAATAAGATAGTGTACAAAGAACAACAGATTGTTTGCGATTTGAAAAGAAACATAAGAAGACTTTACGTTCAGTTTTCACTTTTTCTACGAGATGTTAAAAATTGAAAATAACATGTTTATAAAAAATAATTATTAATACAATTATTTTTATAAACTGTGTACATATCAGAAATGCATTTACTTCTATTCTTTCCTTCTTCTTTTTTTCTCTTTAAAGAATGTTATATTGTAAGAGATTATCTTGCATATCACTGCAGTACTTACCATTTATCACATTTACTCTCTATTTTTTATTCTATCTATCATTTAAAATTTTTTTCCCTAATTTTAACCTTAGTATTAATAAACAATAAAAAGATTAATAAAATAATACTAATATTTAATATATCTTAATAAGATATGTCAATCAAATTTATTCTTTTTTCATCAAGGTTATTTAATATTTCAATTATTATGTAGTTATTTTATGGGTAAAGTATTTCTCATTTTAAATGATACAAAATTATATCATTTTTAATGAAATTACGTTATTTTGGTGTGCTTTTACCTTCTCTCTCCTTCACTTTTTTTTCTTCCTAATTTTATAAAAAAAATGATAAAACACACTAAAACGACATTATTTCATTAAAAATGATATAATTTTGTATCATTTAAAATGATAAACATTTTTTTTCCTAATTTTAAACAATAAATAAATCAGAATGGAGAGAGTGTGATTTAACTATTTTATTTTTATCAAGTAGCTAGTTGCCTTTTTTGTGCGTGTTGTGACATTTTTTTTTAATCAATAGCATATTGTCTTTTTTTAAGATATGTATCTAAATTTTTATTTTTGATTTATTTTTTAAAGGAAGGAAGTGGCACATATAGTTTGCATTATTTCCATTTCTGGGTGGTCAAAATTTGGTCCATTTCTTTATAGAAAACAACCAAAGCACGAGTCAACGATAATATTTGACCATCGTGCTGACTGGGCCTGACCTATACCAACTTCTTCTTCAACATGGTCCAACTTCGTCGATTCATCTCTAATTCTATCATAATTCTTGTCATTTAGATCTAAGAAGAATCATAACATAAATCAGTAATATTATTTGAAACAATTTTTTTTATAAGAATATTATTATCAATATCTCTTTTTTTTTTTTTTTTTGGTAATAATCAATATCTCATTGTTAATTATAGTTAGATAGAAAAAAGGTAAACTTAAAAAATGATAAAAAATAATAATTAACCATTTGTATTATCATCTTTTAATATGGAAGAGTATTAATGTTATTTTAAAACAAATCTTGTACCAAAACGAAAATCATGATAAAACAAAGGATTTTACTTTTCTCGTATAATAGAAGAAAAATTATTTTATATTGTGAGATAAATAAAATGAAGCCTATCGAATTTTATTTTATTTTATTTAAAAAAAGAGACATATTTTTTTATATGAGATTAAAATATGAACCTCATACAATATGAGATGAGAGTATAATTTTCCTAAAATAAATAAGGTGATGTAGTGGGACGCTCCTAGGTTTGGAGTGAAAGCTTGGTGGCCGTTGATCTTGTGGCCATGCTCACATCAAAGGGTGCATATTTAGAGTCAAAGACCTATCTTGAATTCTTGATGTGTCTCTTTGTTCACCATGGAAACATGTTATTTCTTATTCAATTAAATAAGTTAATTAAAATTTCCAACTTTGACTGCGGTGTCAAGGTGTAGGGGTACACTTCGTTGAAAATGAGGAGCACTTGAAATTACCAACTTGGTCATTGAGCTCAATTTTATTTTATTTTTTCCTTTTAAGCTTGATATTTGGTATCATTCAAAATGTCCAATAGGTCCCTCTTCAACAAAGAAACATAGGTTTATCCCCCAAAAATAAAGTTCTCATGCCAATAAGCTCATGCTCCAAGTTAAGAGTATCAATGTAAGATCACAATGAAAGAGATAAAGGAGAAAATAAGATGAAGTTTTTTTTTTTTCAAAACCTTAATGGATCCGATTAATTTAAGTTCGAGTTTGAGTCCCTTCATCCTCTCCAAAGAGTAAATTTAATCTGCTTCCGACACACATGATTCGAAAAAAATAAAAAGAGACAGAAAAAATGTAAAGAGAGAGGAGGATCATTGAATTAATTTCTCTGTCCAAGAAAGGATATTGTCAAGAACTAGATTTAATATTTTTAAGTAAAACAATTCTAAAATTTAGTTAGAACATCACTGAATCAATAATCTTGAGTGAAAATAAAGTTTTTTATCCTTACATTACATATGAACATTCTTCTTTGATAGATTTATTAATTTCTTTTATATAAAGCCAAAGATTAAACCTTGGAATTGCGCACCGAAAGGTCATGTCTTCAAGCTTAAGAACAACTTTTTGATGAAATTGCTAACCCTCCTCGCAAGCAAGGAGTTTTATACACCCAGATTTGTCCTTTATATGAAATTAAAATTAAAATTTTTGAAATTTATTTAATGTTGGTTCATGGTTGCAAGTCACAATGAGTCTATGAAACAATAATAACTCTAAATTATCTTGTATCACTTAATCTCAACATTGATATATTGTAAAAAAGAGTATTTGTTCTTTTTTATTATGAAAGTGAAGTAGATTGATTGACAATAATAGTTGTAAAGATTTTATAAGGGCATAATTTGGGTGTAACAATTAATCGATCAGAATTAGTTCAACTAATAGAAATATAGAATTCAACTACTTTGATTTCTTCATTAATAATTAATTAAGGAAAATATTACTCTCATGTTACATGAGAATAGTTTTCTTATGCTATAGAGAATATTCAAGTGTGACTCACCATTAAAAAGCAGAAAAAAAAAGAGTGCAATTTTCGAAGTGAAAAAATATAAGATAACTATTTCATGTAAAATGAGAGTAGTATTTTTCATTAATTAATTAGACACTTTTTTACTATCTTTAAGTTTTTAATAATTAGAAAAAAAAGTATTAGGATAAAAACTCATTAGCATACCATAAAATGTATAACCCTCCACTGCTCCACATCATAACGCGGAATTGGATATGTGAGATTTTGAATATTTTTTAGATTTACCCTTGGTCTGATTCAGAAAGAAAATTTTAGAAATTAAAACATTCTTATTTAAATGGAAAAATATAAAGAAGAAAATCCAAAACAAATTCAAACTTTTCTGTTCTTTCTTGACATTCAAACGAAGAAGATTAAAATGTTCTCAACGTACCACTAAGAAAAGAATTAGTCAAAATTCAAACCAAAAGGTACACACCACCTATTTGTGGAATGTTAGAAACGGCTTTGACAAGCCGTCAAAGGGATATTCAAAGAGATCATTCAGACACGAAACAATAATGGCAGCTTCATTTGAATATATATATATATATATATAGGGAAATTATACTCTTATGCTACATAAGAGTCCTATCTCATTTTACACTCACATAAAAAGACGTGCCTCTTTTTTCTTTCTTTTTTTTTTTTTAAAAAATTGATGGGTCCCACTTAATTTATCTCACAACATGAGATAGCTTCTCTCATACAACATGAGAGAAGTAAAACCCATATATATATATATATATATTGTTTAGGGGACAAAGTTGGCAACAAGGAGTAAAAGAATTCCCATTTTTGTTTGTGTATTTTAGATTCTGGTAATGATAATAATATTAGTTTAATCACTAAATTAAATTCTGGGATTTTGATCACTGCTCATTGATTTTCCTTTCCCATTTGAGACCATTTGTTTCTTTCTACCATTCCATATTTCCACATATATATTCATCTCTCTTTCTCTCACAAAAAACATCACTTCCAGGCCTTTCCATTTTGCTTTCTTTGACTTCACAAGGGGTAGTTCGTGGTCGAACGAAAACCACAAGTTATAGTTTTCAGTCTGAGTTGCATGAACAGCTATCTTATAGGTGTGTTAAAGTTCCTTCCTTTGAGCTTTTGTTTTCATGTTATTTGAACCTTTTGTGTTGCAAAGTTTATTGGTTAGTTCATTTTTTCTGGTTTTTTTATCTGAAAAACTTTGGTTGTATTGTAGTTTGATTCATTAGCCAGTTTTGCTTCTTTCTTTTTTTTTAAATAAATAAATTGAATCTTGATTTATTTATTTTTTATACCGGGTTGAAATTTCTGGGTATGTCAAATCATTTGAGTTTTGTGAAACTAAATGAAATGAGTGGGTTTCTGTGAAATTTCTTTGATGTTATGGATCTGAATTGCTTTCCATGTGGTTGAATGGATGAGAATTCATGGGTGATTTGTTATTTTCTGGGATGAATTGGTTGTGCAGAGCTCATGACTCCATAGGAATTGAATAGTTTGGTTCATTAGCAAGAAAGCATTTGCCCACTTGCTTTTTGTTATTTTTGTTGTCAAAATTGGCCAATGACGTAGGAAAAATGAAGCAATTTATTGTTCTAATTTTAGGAATGTGATGCTCAATTCTTAGTATCTCTAGTATTTTTACATTTATTTGCTATCCACTGGTGAATATTTGACCATGAAGTATTAAGGGTAGCTGGGAGGAAGGAATGAGAGAGGGAAGGGGGAGATTGTTCTGAGTGTATTCATTTTATTAAGTTATGATCATTAGAGAAGCAAAGAATCAAAAAATAATTATATGATATCACCTGTCTTCTTAGTTAGACACATTTGCAAGAGAAAATCTCGTAGGAAGCAAATGCTTCACCATTTTCCCTTGTTTTTACCTTCTTCTTTTTTTCTTTTTCTTGCAAACATGAATATGCCAAGCACATCTAATATAAAAGAGAATCTTTTTTCCCCCCCATGTATCTTTCTCCTTTGAACCATTTGGTGAAATTTTCCATAATGACATTCTTTCCTGTGGGTTGTTAATCTATGACATGTTGAAGTCCACTAAGTTTGTTTTAAGCCATAGTTTTTTTGGTGCAGAAATAAACAGTTCTATACAAGATGGGATGTTTCACTGTCTTAAAGAGCAAGAAGAAAAAATCTGATCAAATAATGTACCGAAAACGTGTTTGCCATAATGAGCATGTTCCTACAGTTCTGCCTGAACCTCAAGCTCACTCTCGCTCATTGCAGTCTGCACCTCCTAGTTTTAGGACTCGAGTGAAATCCATTCACCCCATTAACAAAGTTAACAACAACAGAACAAGGGCATTATCTGCTCCATCAGCTCTTGATGCAGCAGAACAAGATGCTTTGGCCTCAGTTGAGTATGAGGAACAAGAAGAATCAAAACAGCGAACCGGATCAATGAAGGAGCAGCGTTCACCTAGTCCACAGCCTTTACCTCTTCCATCTCCTCAGGGCAGTGGTGCATTGAAGGCTTCTAGCAGCTTTAAGTCAGGGACTGCTAGTGGTCCTCTATATGCTTCTGGACCTTTACCTCTTCCACCTATTGGATTGCTTCGAAACTTTCAGTATGAGGAAATTGCTGCTGCTTGCCACAATTTCTCTTCGGATCGATGCATGTCAGAATGTCTTTCTTCCACCATATATAAAGCTTCCTTTGGCGATGATGCTTCAAGTTCAAAGAAGTTTGAAGCCACTGTCACGCGCCTTCACCCATCAACTCAGGTACTTTTGTCCACACTGTATTACTTTCATATCTTGGTCATCCAAATTGGTGATGCTTCTTTACCAAATATAGAGAATTAATGCCTTCTTATCTTAAAATGGCTAGAAAGCTAGAATTCAATGTTTTATGTACTTTTTGATATGAGGTGTGTTATGCAAGAGTTTAGGTTTGTCAATTGGTGTCATCCAACTTGCTATTTAGCAGCAGCTTCTAAACCTTGCTCTTCTTGCTGTTCTCCTTACTGTGTTATTTCTCCATGCATATTTGACTGTTTTCACACCATTGCAAAATCAAATGTTGAAATTTGTTATAAATTGAATTGCTGCTGTTCAAACATAATTATGATTTATTGTTAGCCTTGTATTGAGAAGTTTATGCTTTTTGTTGATTTTCCATGCTGAATTATTGTTGCTGAAAGTTTATGATTTGAGCAAAAATAATTGAAAAGAACTGAGAACTTTCTGATGTGGTCTACATACTTGTTATGTCTTCTTTCAGGGCTTGAAGGAATTCATAAATGAGGTTAATACTCTTGCATCTTTACAACATCCAAACGTCTGTAAATTGCTAGGATTTCATGCACGTGATGGCTCTGAACCGAGGATGTTGGTTTATGAAAGGCTATGCCATGGAAGCTTGGACCGCCTGTTGTTTGGGAGATTTGGTGGCCCACCTATTGATTGGAACTCAAGAATGAAAATTGCCATATGTGCTGCACGAGGTCTTACTTTCTTGCATGAAGAAGGGCCTTTCCAGGTAATGAACTTTATATTTAAGCTTAATTTGGTGTAAAATATATATCAAATATACAAAACTGAATAGCCTCGTTTGGTCATGTGTACTTATATGTATATATATATATATATATATATATATATATATATTTTCATGTGGTGTTTAGACCTCATTAAGTTAGTGCCATTGGTCCTGAGTTATCGTGTGTTTCTTAATATGGATTGAACAATTATAGGATAAGTGGATATTTTTATGTTCCTTTAATACATTAGATTTCAATTAAGTGGAATGTTTCTATGTTTGCTGATATACCTATTTCTCTCTTGTAGGCAATGTATAATGAATTTTCAACAGCCAACATACAGATTGACAAGGATTTCAGTGCAAAGCTTTCGGGGTATGGTTGTGTTGGACATATTCCAGAGGAAGAGATTTCAAGCAGTTCATCTGTAAGTTCTTTGACTCAGAAGTGCACTGTGTGTGTTATTATAAAATATTCATATACTATTTTCTATCTTTGTGTCTGGCATACATTGTATATTCATTCCATTGAATTTTGTTCTCATTATTGTACAGGCTGTTGGAAACCTATCAGTGGAGACACTGGAAAGAGGAATGCTTACTCCAAAGAGCAATGTATGGAGTTTTGGAATTGTTCTTCTAGAGCTACTTACTGGCAGAAAGAATGATGATATCTATTACCCCAAGCAAGAGAGGAACTTAGTGAAGTGGACCCGTCCCTTCCTGGCTGATGATCTTAGACTATCATTGATTATGGATCCTCAACTTAAGGGTAGGTTTCCTTCCAAAGCAGCAAGAAAAGTAGCTGACATTGCACAAAGATGCCTTCAAAAGGAGCCATCAGAAAGGCCTACCATGAGAACTGTTGTTGAGCATCTCAAAATGATTCAGGATATGAAGTACTCTTGTTGGTTCCCACTACAAGAGCCAGCATCCAACTATGGAAAAGAAATGTCAAGATCACCAAGTCTTAATGGTATCATATGTCACACACCTAGATTGAGTCTTTCTATATCACCATCATTTGTAGCTAGACCATGTGTTTCACCTCCAAGATGGTCTGGTGTGCCAACCTTGCTTCCTCTTCTCGCTTGTTCCTCACACCAAGCAAGAATTCATCATCCTCAGTATCTAGGAGAGCTAGTGTTGAAGGATATTGATTGTCTATAATGATCATTTTTATTATTTTCTTAATTAATTTTTTGGTGTGATTCAATACAAATTTATAGGAGATAAAGATGTGGTTCTTCCACCTTTGCATTCCTTAGTGATGCTGAGAAGATGTTCTTTTGTAGATAAATGCAAAGGTTGGTCTTACTGGGTTCATTTAGTTACCCCATTTATATACAAATTTACAATGGTCTAAAACACTTTGTTGCTTTTTCTCCACTCAACACCTCACCCCACTCTAACCAAATATATGAATAATGAACTGGTTTTGAAACTTTTTCTTTGGAGGGAGGCCTAGTCTGTAAGATGATTTGGAATGTGGCTTGACGATGCTATTTTTGACTTTTGACTTGGAGCATATTTGGTAGGTTGAATTTATTTATGCGCATTAGGAATAAGAAATGTTTGATATACGAAATCTCTATAGATTGGAATGAAAAAATTGATTAAATGACAAAAGCCTATGATAATAAAAGATCATACTTCAACAACTATGCAAGATTTTGTAGTAAAGTTTTACAAAGCAATGTTGAGCTACTATGAGAAAGAAAGAAAAGAAGACTTTGAGCACTCTGCAACTTTATGTGTAGTAAAGACTCATTTATCGTTTGTGTGGATCTTGGCACAGGTTACTAGATGTGGCTGTCAACTTTATAAATTTATGGGGATATTATTAAGGCACATCTTGGTGATTTTTCAAGCAAAAATTGTTGTTCAAATTCCAAATATTTATATTTTACAATGTTGGACAAAGTATGCTAAAAAGGTCACTGGATTTGTTGGAAGTGAAACAAATTTTGTCTGAGAGAGTAACAATTCAGCAACTATGCGAAGTATGCATGTGCACAATCAAGCAAGCATACTCTTTGATCTTCCTAAAAAATCCGAGAAGATATAGAGAAAAACTTGTGTGCACCGGAAGTACCGAACTCAGTGTTCCTTTTTATTATAAAGAGAAATTTTTTTTTCTTATTACACATGTTTCTTTTTAAGTCTTAAAAAATTTTCCTTTTTAATAAAAGGAAGCACCAAGTTCGATATTCCCGGTGCACCAAAATTTTTCTCGAAGATATATAAGTTTATATCATCAAGGTTGGAGAAAATGGACAAAAAAGGCTGCAATAATAGATTATGAAACGCAAGCTAGAAAGGCATACTTCTTTTAGAGACGAGTTGCCAAGATTTGATCATGTTTGAGCAAGTAAGAGAAGTCCTTGAATTAAATATTGAAGATGCACTCATCACAAACTAAAGGAAGTTTGAGGATGTCTGCCTTTGAACTTGTTCCTTGATCACATTTTCAGCTTTGTATGATTTTTGTTTTAGTTATTGGGGTGTCATGGAATGTACCACGGCTTTCCTATTTTAGATTTTTTAGAACTTGTTTTCTTCTCGCCAAATCTCCAATTAATTATTAAAACAGAAATTCAACTAATGTAACTTCCGACTTTCCTTTATAGGGTTAATTTCCTTTGAAATTGTAATTTCCGGGCTACTGCTAATAATTCATATATTAATCTCTGTTTCCTTCCCACTTTCTATAATGGGGTCTGCCCGTCCTCTTAAATGTGATTACTTTGTTTTATTGGCAAGTTCAATCTAATGAAAAGGATTGAAGCATAGTAGGGTTTGAGTTAAAGAGGAGTGCAATAATAGATAAGTAAGAATCACAATAACCTTAAAATTTCATTCAAGCACAGATTACAATTTGAAAAGGTGCATATGAATCTTGATTTGAATTTCACATATTTTCCTTTTAGTAAATTATTAAGTAATTGATGGAATGACCACGTTATTTGAATCCGGCAAAAGATAAAATAGTATTTTTTTTTTTTTTTTTTGTAATCTAAGGGGATTAACAACAACACCCCAAAGAGATCAATTCAATAAAATCGTTCTGAAATTACGAGACAAAAATAAATCAGCCCAATACAAAGGCCAAATACCAAGAGGGAGGTTTGAAAAAACACAAAAATTATTCTCAACAGTATAATCTAAAGGATATTTAGAAAGTCAATCGGCACAACTATTTCCTTCTCTAAAAACATGAACCGGTGAACTTTCCAATTCTCTTGTAAAAATTTACGAGTAAATGAGGAATACAAAAAAAATTAAAAAAACGTCTTCTGCCTCTCCAAAAGCTAGGCCAGAACTTGATGGAAAACCTTCTTTCTCCCTTTGCCACTTGGAAGAATGGAGAAGGGGAACCTATTAAGTAGAATATTAAATTTTAAAGACGCGTTAACCATTGAATGTGCTACAAGTTGAGCAGATGAACACCATCAAAAAAATATAAGCCAAAGGATCGTATTAAACAATTAATTCTCAGCTTTCTGCTTAAATATTTTGCTGAGAATCCCAACGTATAGTTAAATATGGCCCTAATTGGATAATTTTGGTAGAGGTAACAATCAAACTTCAGCATATCAACTGCCAAGACACATGATCCTTTGCATTTTGCAGCAAATTATTCCATTACAGTCTATACTTGCAGTTCCAAACCAGTTATGACTTCATCATAACTCAAATCACAAAATGCAGAAAAGAGCTTCCTTCTGCAATTTATTCTACCAAAAAGAATCAGGTTGTTTTCAAATACAATACTAAATGATTCACTACCATGTGATTTCCTCAACCAAATCTTAAATTTCAAGCATGCTAATTGTCCCTTGAAGTCATTATCAATTGGCAATATTCTGGTAACGATGTGGTTCTAATAACAGCAAAGGGAAGGATGCATCCCACAACAAAAAATCTAAATACCATTAAAGACACTGAATTAAAAATCTAAAAATGAACTTAACTTCTTGCCTATCCCCTAAGCCTCCCTACGCACAAAATACAGCTTGCCCACCACATGAAGGATGGCAACAAATGCTATAAAGCCAATGCTCATTACAAGAACCACATTTGGGGAAATCTTGAGTCCAGGGGCATCATCAGTGTAAAACTGAAGCATATTCCCAGCTGCTCCTCCAGAGGCCCCGCCACTGGTTGTTTTTCTTCTCCTCATGCTAGCAGTAGCTGCTGCACTTCCTCTTGGGGGAGCTGGTCCACCTAAAGCCATTTTCTGAAACACAAATTCATACATTTCGAATGTTAAACTAATACCTACATGCAATACCTTCTCAAAATCAATAAACACAATTTCAGCTTCTCATAACTCAAGACTACCACCCTTCAAGAGCAATTTGAAAAACAATTTTGTTACTAATCGTAAAGAAAATCTTGACTACTTAAGCTCTGAAAAGAATGAAAAAGTAATGCATAACATAATCACATAAGCAACAGAAATCAAGACTTGGCAGGTAAATATTGATTTTAATTTCTTATCCTACATCTTCTTCAAAATTCACAAAACTCAAGAAATTTTGATACAGTCCTGCACCGTTACATCTGCTATGATTGCATATATGCATATCAAACCAAAGGGTACTGATATTCAAAACTTAACAACGTTATAAGTCATAAAACTACAAGCAAAATTCAACATATGCAAAACCTTGTCTTCTCTCTAGCACAGGAACGTCCAAGCTCGAAATAAAAACAACCGATTTTGCCAAATTGGTGGCACTACTTTATTTTCTTCCAATCCAATTAAACAACTAGAAACCCTCAAAGCAAAACTTTCGATTAGAGAGATTAGAAAACCTCTTGTCAATTAGAACAAAAGCGCTTCGAATTAGAACCATATGGTAAATAAATATTAGTAGTTCATATCAATTAGAACAAAAGCGTTCCGAATCTCCCTATAATTTCAGAGCACTAAAAATTGCATGGAAAAACCAGATCTGTGATCAGAACTTGGAATTTGAGATAAATAAGAGAGAGGAAACCGAAACGAACCTGAAGGGTCTGAGATGGACGGAGAACTCGCCGGACACTGTTTTCGCGAGGTTCAACTGAGGGAGGATTTGAAGTGGCCCTGTTTGGGAATGAGATACCTAATTGCTATCACAGATTAATTGAACCAGGTTTTGATTAAAAAATTGTTAGGAAAACTATATTTAAGTTTAGGTTTTAATGTTTTTAAAGTATAAGTTCTAATACTGTACATTAAGAGGTGAGAATGAGAGCATGTATTCGATCATCTCCACTATTACTGTCATTTTTTGAGAGAAATTTAAAGTCTTAATATCAGAATCTAGTTCGAATTGGACTAATTACAAAATAATAGACCGAATGTAATATCTTAAAATAAAATAAAAAGGCAATTACTTGTACTAGAAGAAAAAGGAGGCAATAACTTGTACAAATTAAAGTGCGTATCACTTTCTATGCATGGAAACGTTTTAATAGTTAACCATCTGTGATTGAGAGAGTTACAAGTCAAATTAATTACAATAATATACTCAAAGATTGTGCTCAATCTCCAAAAAAATATAATTTTTTTATATAATTTTTATTTACAATAATATATATTTCTTAAAATTATCTTTCTTGAAAATTTCCCTCAACATATCCTATATCTCCTCTTGATCCCCGTATCAAAGAAGGATGTATAAAGATAATTAATCTTGAACCCGAAATATTAGATCTTGCCTTCACCAAATAATACCCAAATTTTCTCTCAAGGTTGGGGTTAGATTCCAAAATCTGAACATCTTGAAAAGAATATAAAGTTTTACGAGTTTATTCTAATTGACACTCATTCTGCAGAAGTAATTTCTAAAGTAGACTCAAATGATCCCTCTAAAATAATTATTTTAAATTAAAAATAAATACTATTTTAACTCCGAGTGATAGAACCAAAATCCTCTCACTTTCAAGAATTTCTATAGATCATGTCCTCCCTCTTCTTTTAATTATTTTGATTACCAAGAAGCTTGGTATGGTATATTACTTTCATTAAACCTCAAATATACCTTCTTGGTTTTTAGACCGATTTCAACAAATGGGGCAGGTTAGAGCAATGCTACCTATTATGGTAGTCCAACTTTTTGATAATTATAAAAAAGAATTGACACCTCAATTAACCAAATCATCTTAAATTCATTAAATTTTGCTCTCAAACGGGAGTATTGGTTTCTTCAAAATTTATATGAATACCATCCAGAACCAAGCTATCCCAAAATGTTAAGTCTAAAGATTAAAGTTTGTTGGTGGAAGAAATACAAAATTTAATTCTTTGAAGAAAAATTTAAGAATTGGAAAGAAAAAATTAAAGCTAATTCGTCAGGACCAACCAAGTTTCAAGTTGATGTTTAGGCAAATACTAAAGAACAATATAAGAAGTTTTTACAAGCAGCATTATCTTCTTCACGATCAGAAGATCAAGTAGAAGATTCAGAGCTCGAAGCAGAATTTAATCCTTATTTAGAAAATGGGGATGACCGACACAGAATTAAACTGGACCCCAATTTGACAAAATCTTAATTAGCGATCAGAAAAGAAAAAGATGCTACCCACATCAATGCATGAAAACAATAAAAAATAATTTGCTTTGACAAAATCTTTGATAATAAAGAAGGACGTGATAGATTTGAATATGAAAATAGAGGTACTGAAAATTACTGTTATTTTCATTCAGAATAAAAGGTTACAATATATAAACCAGAAAAGTAAGCTACGGGGAGAGGAAAAAAGGAATTAAAAAAGGATAACTATACCTAAGCTTCAGCCTATAGACAGAAAACTACCAAAAATAGAAAAAGGAATAAATTTGTAACTATTAATCCGACGATTTCGGGATTAATCCAATACCTTAATCCTTGTGATTCTAATTCGGAATCCAACAAAATCAACATCTTTTAAACATTTAAAATGATGTGACCTGAGAAGAAGAATAAAGGGTGGGGTCAGCATCCAAACAATATGGAATGATAAATTATCTCATCCAAATAAAATACACTCCGTACTTCAACCAATCCCTAAAGAACATAATAAGTTCTTTAAATCATTTCCATTCTTTAAATCTCTTTGACAAACGCTGATAGTGCTTCCTTTCCTGCACCGAAAAAACAAAATAAGTTCTAATGTTAATTTCAAGGGGAAGGATATTGTGACAACCAAGTTGTGTTACTACCAAGTGATTACCAATCAATCTGACCGTTAGATCGATTATATTGATCCAACGGTTATATTTATTTTCATCTTTGTATGGTTATGATTTCCCAAATTTAATACTTTATATTTATTTTCACCTTTGTATAGTTACTACCAAGTGACTACCAATCAAGTCTGACCCTCAAGTCGATTGCGGAAGCGAAACAATAGAATGCAAGAGGAAAATATATGAGTGAGGTGAAGAAATCCTCCATGTGAAAAAGAATTTGAATACCTCTAGGGAGAAGTTTGAGTGAGACATCTCTAAGGAAGTTTGAATACCACCACTGTAGGTGATGCTTGATTATTTAAAAGTACCTCTAAAGAGATGTTTGAGTGTTAGACCTCTTTAGGGACGTTTGATGTTACCACCATACTTGGTGAAGCTTGATTGTATCTCTAGTGAAAGACTAGGGAAATTTGATTGTTGTAACCCATTACTCTTATAGTGGAAGTTTGATTCTGGATTAATGTCCCGTGGATTTTTACTTCTTCACATTGGAGAAGGTTTTCCCACGTTAAACAAATTGACTGTGTTCTTCTCCATCTCTCTCCTCTTGCATTTTACTGTTTCGCTTCCGCAATTGACTTAAGGGTTTGACTTGACCCAATAGAGGTATCAGAGCGGTTTCAATCCAAGGACCAGGAGCTTGGTTGGAGACACGATGAGTACTTAACTTTGGGAGTACGAGAAGAGACTTCTACTTAAGGGGGAGCGAGTACTGATTATACTTGCTACGAAGGAGCCGATATATAGATCCCCTGATTAAGTCGAAAAGGGGGAGAATTGTTGAATTATTTCTCCTTAATTAGATACAAGTTCCAATGCATGGAAGCATGAAAAGGCTTCATGAGAAAATGAAAGGACTTTATGGGAGAACGAAGAGTTGTATTAAGATCCTCCACATTAAATGAGAGGTGTTGGGTCGTGCACTGGGAGCTCATGGCGGGGAGAGACCGCCAACCATGGGCCAAGTGAGCAACAACATTAAGTGGGTTTGGAACACCACAATCAAACCCAAAAACTTAAGGCATTAGGTGTATGGGACCAATATCAAGCATCTTAATCCATGGACCGATAGGATATGGAAAGACACTATTGACTCATGCCATAGCCAATGAAACCTGTCTACACCGATGTATCAGATAATAGGTAATTAATGCAAAATCTCGTGATACACTTTCATTTTTGTTAGATTCAGATCTTATTTTCTTTTTTAATCAGGTGCAAACACGACATTATGAATGTTTATGATGTAGCTTTGAAGAACGCTCATTCAATCGTTCTAATCGAATTTATTCATTCAATTAAGGCTGAGTCTGGAACAAGATAATTAATATCGTATATAGATGGCAAATAGTTGTTATATACATGTCGGTATGTAAAAGATTTAAAAAAGAAATACACCTTTAAGTATGGGATGAATGAGGTATTGAAGGATTTGAAGTCCAATGGGATCGGGCCATTTTTTCTCTCCAGAAATTGCTTGGAAATTAGGTGCGAGGCCAATACCAAGTATCTTGATCCATGGACCGCTAGGATCTGGAAAGACACTATTGGCTCATGCCATAGCCAATGAAACTCGTCTGCACCGATGTATCAGATAATAGGTAATGAATGCACAATCTCGTGATACACTTTCGTTTTTGTTAGATTTAGATCTTTTTTTTTACTCAGGTGCAAACACGACATTATTGAGGATTTTGATGTAGCTTTGAAGAATGCTCCTTCAATCCTTCTAATCGAATTTATTCATTCAAATAAGGCTGAGACTGGAACAAGACAATTAATATCACATATGGATGGCAGGTAGTTCTTATATACATGTCGGCAGCTCAACGATGTAAAAGATGAAAAAAAAATCTACACCTTTAAGTTCATGATGAATGAGGTATTGAAGAATTTGAAGTCCAATGTGACCGGACAATTTTTTCTCTCTAGAAATTGCTTGAGAATTAGGTGCAAGGCCAATATCAAGCATCTTGATCCATAGACCGATAGGATATGGAAAGACACTAATGGCTCATGCCATAACCAATGAATCCTGACTACACCGATGTATCAGATCATAGGTAATTAATGCACAATCTCGTGATACACTTCCATTTATGTTAGATTCTGATCTTATTTTCTTTTTAAATCAAGTGCAAACACGACATTGTGAATGTTTTTTATGTAACTTTGAAGAACGCACCTTCAATCGTTCTAATCGAATTTATTCATTCAATTAGGCTGAGTCTGGAACAAGATATTTAATATCTTATATGGATGGCGAGTAGTTCTTATATACATGTCGGCAGCTTCAGCGATGTAAAAGATGAAAAAAAAACATACACCTTTTAGTACGGGATGAATGAGGTATTGAAGGATTTGAAGTCCAATGTGATCGGGAAATTTTTTCTCTCTAGAAATTGTTTGAAATTAGATGCGAGGCCAATACCAAGCATCTTGATCCATAGACCGCTAGGATCTGGAAAGACACTATTGGCTCATGCCATAGCCAATGAAACCTGTCTGCACCGATGTATCGTATAATAGGTAATTAATGCACAATCCCGTGATATACTTTCGTTTTTGTTAGATTCAGATCTTATTTTCTTTTTTAATCAGGTGCAAACACGACATTATGAATGTTTTTGATGTAGCTTTGAAGAACGCTCCTTCAATCGTTCTAATCGAATTTATTCATTCAACTAAGGTTGAGTCTGGAACAAGATGATTAATATCGTATATGGATGGCGAGTAGTTGTTATATACATGTCGGCAGCTTCAGCGATGTAAAAGATTTAAAAAAGAAATACACCTTTAAGTATGGGATGAATGAGGTATTGAAGGATTTGAAGTCCAATGTGATCGGGCCATTTTTTCTCTCCATAAATTGCTTGGAAATTAGGTGCAAGGCCAATACCAAGCATCTTGATCCATGGACTGCTAGGATCTGGAAAGACGCTATTGGCTCATGCCATAGCCAATGAAACCCGTCTGCACCGATGTATCAGATAATAGGTAATGAATGCACAATCTCGTGATACACTTTCATTTTTGTAAGATTCTGATCTGATTATGTTTTTTAATCAGGTGCAAACACGACATTATGAATGTTTTTGATGTAGTTTTGAAGAACGCTCCTTCAATCGTTCTAATCGAATTTATTCATTCAATTAAGGCTGAGTCTGAAACAAGATAATTAATATCGTATATGGATGGCGAGTAGTTCTTATATACATGTCGACAACTTCAGCGATGAAAAAGATGAAAAAAAAAACATACACCTTTAAGTACGGGATGAATGAGGTATTGAAGGATTTGAAGTCCAATGTGATCGGGCCATTTTTTCTCTCTAGAAATTGCTTGGAAACTAGGTGCGAGGCCAATACTAAGCATCTTGATCCATGGACCGCTAGGATCTGGAAAGACATTATTGGCACATGCCATAGCCAATGAAACCCGTGCACCGATGTATTAGATAATAGGTAATTAATGCACAATCTCGTGATACACTTTCATTTTTGTTAGATTCAGATCTTATTTTCTTTTTTAATCATGTGCAAATACGACATTATGAAGGTTTTTTATGTAGCTTTGAAGAACATTCCTTAATTTATTCTAATTGTTTGTTATTGCAATGGAGAAATTGTCACACATTAAAGCTACTGCAACTAGTGGTGGTTTATGGAAGCCAATTCGGGTGGGTGTTAAGGGGCCTCAAATTTCTCATCTAGCCTTAGCTGACGATCTCATGATTTTCATGGAGGCCAGTGAGAAGCAGTTGGATGTATTAATGAAGTGCTTATGTTTGTTTGAAGAAATTTCTGGACAAAAACTTAGTGTAGATAAAACAACTATTTTCTTTTCCAGAAATACAAGTGATGTGGTGGCTGATAGGATATCTCAACGCAGTGGTTTTAGAATAGTTAAAAATATTGGTCGTTATTTGGAGTCTATGATGCAGCATAGGAGAGCAACTAGAGACTTGTATAAGAGTATTGTGGACAAAGTAAGGTCTAAACTTAATTCTTGGCAGCAACAGTGTCTATCGCAGGCAGGTCGTATCAATTTGGCTCAATTGGTAATGACAGCAATTCCATTTTTTCCAATGCAAAAAGCTGTAAAATTCCTCAAGCAATTTGTTTAGAAATTGAAAAAATCCAGAGAGGCTTCATTTGGGGAGATCGTGAGCATAATAGGAAGTACCATGACATCAGTTGGGATTGTATTTCGCGTCCTAAGTGTTGTGGCGGGTTGGGGTTAAAGAGACTGAAATTAATGAATGATGCTTTTATTGCTAAGAGAATTTGGAGTTATCACGTTGGATCTAATCAGCTTTGGGTTAAAGTGTTGCATGCTAAATATGAAGCAAGGAGTACCCGGAATAGCCCTTTTGCAGTGAAAAATGGTGATTCAAATTTTTGGAAAAACATGTGTAGACTCTGGGAGGAATTGGATTGCTGTCTCATCTAGGTTCTTAGAGATGGAAGGGAAATTAATTTTTGGCAGCATAGATGGTTAACGCTTCAATCATCTCTGCAAGAAGTTGCATCTAATTGGGATCAAAATATAGATAAAACAGGAAGGTGGCTGATATGATAACAGTGGAAGGGGAGTGGGACTATGTGGAGTTAAAGCGCTGGCTTCCAGAAAATATAATTAATGTATTTAGGAATACTTTGCCTCCGAATAGTCTTGATGGCATTGACAAGAAGATGTGGGAGAGTCAGTTGATTTCTCGGATACGAGCATGGATTCAGAAAGATTGGTCGGTTAGTTTCAACCACACGTTCAAGGAAGGAAATGCTTGTGCGGATTGGATGAAAAATTTTATCTTGGAGAATGATGAGGGTGTCCAATATCTTTTTTGTGATGAACCACCACCTGGCATTCACGTTATTTATCTGGCTGATCTTACTGGAGTAGAAAGACTGCGAGCTCTGGTGATCCAGTAGCTTTTGTTTCTGTTTTGGATTTCCTGTCGTTTCTGTTTTTTGGGCTCTGGCCCTGTTGGGTATAAAATAAAATAAAATAAGAATAAGTATGAGCAAAGAGTCATATATAAGGACATATTTTAGATGCATTTTTAAACATGGAAGTCATGAAAAAACAAAGAGTCACATGTTCTGAACCATGTGAAAGGTCATCCGTAATCCATGTGAAAGGTCATTCATAATCTATGTGAAAGGTCATCCATAATCCATGTGAAAGGTCATCCATAATATTTTACAATACCCCTTTGGATGTATTCTACAATTCAACACACCATTAGTGTGATGATTATAGCATATATCAAAGGTCATGAAAAACACATAGTCACGTGTTATGAACCATATGAAAATTCATCCATAATATTTTACAACAAAAATAAATTTTTCAGTAGTGATATGTTTTAGCAGAGATTTTCATCTGCGCATCAATAAAAATAAAATTTTCTATTGACATCTAAGCATGTTATACATCCAAATTTGTATTGAAACATATTGTATACAATGCACTTTAGTAATTTCATAGATAATAATAACTAAAAAGTTTTTTGTAACGGTAATAGTTAAAGAAAATCAATTATTTTACTTTTAAATATATAACATACTAAAAACAGTTATTCAATATTGGTATTAAGAAAATCTTTATTTGATGACATCATTTAACAATGAATTTAGTAAAAGTAGTAACTAAATTTTCACTTATATTAAAATTTTGTTTACATTTTCACTTGTATATTTATGTACAAATCTTATTTTATTAAAAAAATTAAATTATAAAAAATTTATAATTTGTATAAAATATGTTAAGTGTTAAAATTTTATTTGTTAAAATATTTTTTAAAGTATTGAATATGATAAAAAAATTGTGAAATTATAATTTTGGATGGCCCACGGACTGACCCTAACCAATTGGGTTTTTGCCCCATATGGGTCTTGATTATTGAGGTTCATTTGGTTTTGCGGGCTTTTTGGCTCTAACCCACACGAGTTAGGGCCAAATGGGACGGACTGACCCATTTTAACAGCTCTAGCATGTGCGTGTTCTCTTAAATGTGATTCCTTTGTTTTATTGGCCATGTTCAATATAATGCAAGAATTGAAGCATGGTAGGGTTTGAATTAAAGAGAAGTGTAATAGATAATTAAGAATGACAATAACCTTAAAATTTCATTCATGCACAGATTGCAGTTTGAAAAGGTGCGTATAAATTTGATTTGAATTTGAAATATCTTCCTTTTAGTAAATCGTTAAGTAATTGATGGAATTATCACATTTCTTGAATCTGGCAAAAAGATAAAATAGAAGAAAAATTTATAAGCCCTAGTTTAGATGTACAGATTATGATGTTATTATGATGTACATGTTAGTTTAGATGAATAATACTAAGGCTTTAATATTTCTAAAGTGAATGTAGATAAGTTATCTACATTCGTTCCCAAAACGACGTCGTTTTGGGTTGAAAAATTAAAAAATTATAATGAAAAAGATTATTATAACTCTAAAATAAATTATAATTATTAAAATATCTTGATTTTCGCCTCAAAACGACGTCGTTTTGGGCTCAATGTAGATAAGTTATCTACATTGACGGTAGAAAAAGCAAACCCTAATACTAATTATGTAATTTCTACACTTATAGTTATGCAAAATTTATGCATTGCAACTGGAGTTTAAGACGAAAAAAGTTTTAGTGGAGTATCTCAACACATTACGCTATTTACATAGTTATACATAAAGTTTTAGCGTAACATGTGCACAGGTGATGAGCAAGTCAACTATTAGACTCACAATTTAGCGCATGGCTCTAATGAACTAACTAGGGTAATGATGTTTCAATTTTTTTTTTTTTCATATAATCTCGAATTAAATCGCGTGAAATTTTCTGGCATATATAATTATAGTTAAATTTAAGAGCAGCTAAAACCATTTGGACCATGTGTCGTGCTAAATCTCGTGAACTAGTAGTATGTATGTTTTTGTATAGTTATTTGTAAATCCACGCTGCAATGCAAGTCTAAACATGTATATAGAAAGTCTTCTGGTTGCAAGATATTTTCTAACACAAAAAAGTAAAAGAATACTTGTAACTCAATGCAATATATAAGGTCTTTTTGGTTGCCGTGAGAGGAGCAAAGAACCACCGAACCCTGCTTGCCTCGTTTCCCCATAACATTGAAAAAGGAATACAAACAATGAATATTCAAACTTAACACATGTACTAAAGAAACAAAAACAGATGTCGTCTCTCTTTCTCTATAACCTTTAAAAGACGAAAAATGTTTATTCAAACTTACCACATTCCACGCATATTAAAGAAACAAAACTAGGTGTTTTATGACAACGCAAGGAGATGCTTTCCTTCAAACTCCTTGCCTCACTAGTTTACAACCTAAATCGCAAACCACAGCATATATAGCTTATTGAGTTTGGGGGGGAAATTCAAACCGAAGGACACAAAAAGACAACGCAAAGACAATATAGATATCCCAATGAACCTCCTATAATTTTATAGTTCATGCAATTAAGGTTTCTTGTAAAATGATTTCGGAGTTAAAAAGGAAAAAGGAAATGAAGGTGGCAGGACTTCATGCGAGTGAATTGTTTTGGCCTTTATCTTGCTCACTGTTCTCTTCAGGACTGCTTTCTTGTTCCTGAACAGCAGAAGCAGTATTATGGCAATTCTCATTATGTCTTCCCTCACTCTCATTGGTTGTCTCTGCCTGCACATTTGAAGCTGAATTTGTTTGCTGTTCCGATATCAAACTAGAAAGACCATTTTGCTTCAGGTAAGTGTCCAACGGGAGATTTGCTTCTTCAAGAAGACTCATCATGCTTACACTGTTTGGCCCAGCCTGCATGTCTTCTCGATCAGGTTGGCAATTCAAGTCTAATTGTCCCTTGGCAGCTTCAGCCACATGGTCTTGACTCCTTGAATCCAACTCATCTGGCACCCTTGCTTCATTCTCCCAACCATCAACTGGAGTTAAATGTCGAGAGGTGCTGTCTACTTCTGATTCATCCTTGGTACGCCATGATAGCTGATTTCTCTGAGCAATCTCCGCTTCACGTTCAGATTGACGCTTCTTTTTTCGCATCATCAGGGTTTTAAACCGACGTTTAACTGTCATGCACACATTGCATGTGCATGTAGGTTTGTGTTTGCCTTTCCCACTTGGTGGCTGGATACAGACAATGCAGGAGCACCCAGGTCTATGCCGAGGGTGTTTTGTAGTGGTAACGACTGGTGCACTGCCGCAGTCACTTGCATCATCTCCAAGTGTAGCAGCATTTGCCAACGCATCGAGTCCAGATGATGCATGTTCCAGGGCCGGTCTGTGGCTTGCTGCTAGTCTTTGTTTCTTGAATTCTGTTCCAAAATAATGGATTTAAGCATATTTGATATCAAGAATTGGTTGAAACGAAAAATGTCACCATGCATTTACAATCGTAACAAAATCATCATCCTTGATCGTGCAGCATTATTTGGTTTTACAGATTTGCCAACTTGTTCAACAAAAGATAAGGGTAAGCACAAAGGCCACGGTAGCAAGACAGAACTGGTTAATACAAGCACCAACTCTACTGTAGCAACTCCATAGAATTAATCATTACTGTCCAGCACAATTTTGTCATCTTACTGGCACAAAAAGTCAGTTCTTTCAAGTGGCGGCTCAAGATCAGTTATAGTTAAGAATGAAAAAGGTACTACCATGGCATTTTGAAGTCATTATGTAAAATACATAAGTATGTTTATTAGTTATGGTATATCAACAATTAAAAAAAAGGAAATATAAGATGCACAAGTCAATACTTCGATATTTCCTGTGCATATTTTAAGTTATTTTTAATTTACATAGCAGTTCTGGGGATTTTCAATTCTCCTAAATCTTATATGTTCAATAGTATTACATTCCCATGCCAAAATGCAACTCCAAATGACTTCAAAATGATTATACTGACATAATAAAGCATTGATACCCAGGCATTCAAACAAATGCAAATATCCTTGTCCTCAATAAGTATGGATGAGCGCCTATATAATGAATTGAAGTTTCCCTGTTTGGTGTCCAATTAATACAGTAAGTAAACGGCTAGACCAGTTTTGACTAAACTACATTGGTAAACAACATACAAAAGAGGCTTTTAAAATTTTCAGCTGTGTGTGTTTTCCTCTTTTAGAGAGACAAAAAGAGAAGAAAGATAAAGACAAAGCTAGGAACTTAAATACAGATAATCATCAATTATAAACCACTCATCAACAGCCGCATCTCATACCAATTTAAATGGGAAACCCATTTGAGAGCCCCAATCAACCAATATCCCTAAAAAAAAATATTTATTCAAAATACAATTTGTGTTAAGCTGTTAGGTGAAAGCTGCATTAATAATTTTATATTATATTTCTGTAACACATTTTCTTCACAAAAGAGTCCATAGAACTTGAATAGTGGAGAATGAAAAGACCCATCTATCTGTGCTAAAAAACTCCATAATATTAAATTATTTATCAATAGAATGGGGGAGGTGAAAATTGACCTCAATCACTTGATCATAGAGACTGATACCATGTAAAAAACCATTTTAACCCAACGTATGCAGCTATATAAAGGCCACATTAATGATTTTATAATATATTTCTCTAGCACTATTCAAAACTTAAAACTTTGCAAATGGCATTTATATTAAGTCACAAATAGAAGTTTGTGGATTAAAAGAAAGTCTAAGTAGTATGCTATGCAGACAAATTTCAGTACTTTTGCAGATTTTCTTCCAGCATTTATTGATCAGCAGTGAAACAACAATGGGAAAGTAATTAAACAAGACTTAAAAGGAGTAAGAAATAGATTGCCGCATTGTTTGTCGTAGGATGGAATAGAAGAAAGCTATTGGCACTGTGGAATAGTAGGCCTGTTATTTCATATGTTCAAAATTCTATATTTTTTTATTCATTTACTTTTTCTCTCTTGTTTATTTTTCTTTTCTTTCAATTTTTTCTTGCTTTTTATTTGGGTTAATTGACCAGTTTGAGACAAAGGTGATGTTGGTGTTGATTTATTTTCCAGCACTATCTGGAAAGCATAGTGAGGGCGAGCCTCGGGGTTTGCCCCTTTTATAACAAGAAAGCATAGTGTGTATTTAAATGAATGGAAGAAATGGAGAAATACCCTTGTTCAATCTCAGAAGATTATCCAGTTCCCTTGGGTTCAATTCATTGGGAGCAGAACATGAACACCTGCTGACAGCATTGCAGAAGTATAAAGGTCTTACCAAGAACATGTTTTCATAAAGACAAAATTGCACTAGAAATTCTTCTGCTCACCTGATCTGATCCCATAAATTTTCCGCACATGTCCACTTAGGGGGAATAAGTACATCAACTGGCAACTTCCGCCATTTTGAGCAATTATCACACTCTGTCCACTGCTCATTTATCCTAAATCATATTCCAAATTGAAAAACTCAATTGAAATATATAAGCAGCTATTATGAATCCAGAAATGGGTTTTGGGTTCTCAGGTTTAAGAGATAGAGAAGAGTAAAAAAATACTTTTGGGTTCTCAGATTATCGATCCGTATAACTAACTCTGACTTCATTCAAATCTATTTAGCTGTTATATTGGTATAATTTGTAAAAGAAATCGTAAAGTTCAATAGAATATAGAAAAGAAATGGGAGGGTTAGTAAGAAGGGGGAAATCTGGTGCATGCAATAAAAAGAAAAACCACTAAAGCAAATACTCATCCTACCCGGTTGATCGGACAACGAATATACTCCTCTTTCCAAAGACAGGAGGTTCCTGCATAAATTGAAGTAAGTCAACTCCTCTGCAGGATCTTAAACAGGCTGTATAATAAGATTTAATCCTTCTTTTTGTAGCCTTTGAGTGGAAACTTTAAGACCTAGAAACCAATTTCACATACCTATGCTTTACCCGTAATCCACATAAATCTAAGCACCACAATGCATGAAGCTTAAGATGAGCTGAGACACTAAAATTTGTAATCCTAATACTTGTTACTGCCTTGACACACACTGATGCATGTAAAGTCCTTTTTTTTTCAAAAATGACACAGGCATCCCCACCCATTAACTAACTTGTTTTTCTCCTATACATACAAACCTTAAAAGCAAAAACAGGTTTTTGTATAATATGAAACTAGAGGGGTATTTTGATAATTCTGCAGATTGCGAACCTGAGGGGAGGTCAACAACAGATGTATACTGAACTACCCAATTATGAGATTTCATACATTTTAGAAGTCATATTCTTATTTAGATTTAGAAGATTCACCTATATGGAAGAACTTTGGATAGCAGATGAATGCATTAATAAACTCATTATAACTAACAAAAGAATGGTATATTTTTGGGTCAAAGTTGGTGTCTGCATTAAACAGACACCAAAACCACCAACTTAACCTCGTCCACATATATATATATATATATATATATATATATATATATATATATATATATGAAGAAAAGAAGAAGTGGAAGAAGTGTTTTATCTGAATAATACTTTCTTGATTCATTGAGAGACCCAATGGGTCCTTTTTATATTGAGTATATCCAACTACCTCAACTACTTTAATAAATATACAACCACCAACTACATCAATAAATATACAACTACCAACTAAATATACAACTACCAACTACTTCAATAAATACTATCTAGAATATTCTACATATTCTACACTCCCCCTCAAGTTGGGAGATATATATTGATCATTCCCAACTTGCTGATCAAATTCTCAAAGGTCGGCTTAAGTAATCCTTTGGTGAGGATATCCGTCGTCTGTTCCTTGGTAGGTATATATGTCAAGCATACACTACCGTCTTCTAATTTCTCTTTGATAAAGTGACGATCAACTTCCACATGTTTTGTTATGTCATGATGAACAGGATTTTGAGCAATGCTGACAGCAGCCTTATTATCACAATATAATCTGATAGGTAGGGAATAAGAGATCTTCAGCTCCTCCAGAAGCCTTCGTAACCAAATTCCTTCACAAATACCATGGGCTAGAGCCCGAAATTCCGCTTCTGCACTGCTTCTTGCAACAACAGCTTGTTTCTTACTTCTCCAGGTCACAAGGTTTCCCCAGACATAAGTACAATATCCTGAAGTAGATCTTCGGTCCATTGCAGAGCCAGCCCAGTCTGCATCTGTATAGATTTCAATCATCCTTTTGTGCCCCTTTTTAAAGAAAATTCCTCGACCAGGGGTATTTTTGAGGTATTTGAGAATTCTATAAACAGCACTAAGGTGTTTTTCCTTAGGAGAATGCATGAATTGGCTAACCATGCTCACAGCAAAAGCAATATCAGGACGAGTGTGAGACAAATAGATTAATTTTCCCACTAGTCTCTGGTACTGCTCCCTATCAACATCTTCCCCGTCCTCAACTCCCATCTTGATATTAGCTTCAATTGGAGTCTCTGCCGGCTTGCACCCAAGCATACCTGTTTCTTGCAACAGGTCTAGAATGTATTTTTTCTGAGTTAAAGAAATTCCTTCCTTACTCCGAGCAATTTCCATGCCAAGGAAATATTTGAGAGATCCAAGATCTTTTAGTTCAAACTGGTCAGCTAAACATTTTTTTAAAGAGGTTATCTCCTCGCTATCATTACCAGTGACAATTATGTCATCAACATAAACGATCAGAATAGCAATTCTTCCTTTGTCGGAGTGTTTAAAAAATAAAGTGTGATCAGTCTGAGCTTGGGTGAACCCTCTTCCTTTAACAGCTTGAGTAAATTTCCCAAACCATTCTCTGGGAGATTGTTTAAGTCCATAGAGAGACTTTTGCAACTTGCACACAGAACCATCCCCTTTTTCAAAACCAGGAGGTGGATCCATGTAAACTTCCTCATGGAGATCACCATTCAAGAAGGCATTCTTAACATCTAACTGTTGCAATGGCCAATCAAGGTTGGCGGCAAGAGATAGCAGAACGCGGATAGTGTTAAGTTTGGCAACAGGAGCAAATGTCTCCTGATAATCTATCCCATGAGTCTGAGTAAATCCCTTAACAACTAATCTGGCCTTATACCTATTGATGCTATTGTCTGCATTGAATTTTATTGTGAACACCCACTTGCAACCAACAGTTTTCTTTCCTTTAGGTAATGTCACAAACTCCCATGTTCCATTTTTTGTAAGTGCATCCATTTCTTCTAATACTGCATTCCTCCATTTTGGGTCATCAAGTGCTTCTTGGATATTTTTGGGTATCCTGGTACTATCTAACATAGTGTTGAAAGCACGAAAACGTGGAGACAACTTTTCATATGAGATATAATGGGAAATAGGATGAGCAGTGCAAGATCTAGTACCTTTCCGAAGAGCAATAGGCATATCAACGTTGGTTGTACTAGTACATTCAAGTGGGTTGCTGGAACAAGGACTCGAGTCAGGATCCTGGCAGTCTAGAGTATCTTCATGTGTTTTGCGCCTGCTGTAAAATTTTCCCCATTTACCAGGAGGATCACAAGGAGGATAATTAGATTCAGGTATAGTTGCTCCCCCTGTTTCCTTCCCAATAACTCCACTTGTTTCCAAAGGCCAAAGTAAGACAGCAACATCATTTGGTTTCCCAGGCTTATCTTCATTAGATTTAGGTATAGTTGCTCCCCCTGTTTCCTTCCCAATAACTCCACTTGTTTCCAAAGGCCAAGGTAAGACAGCAACATCATTTGGTTTCCCAGGCTTATCTTCATCCATACCAATACCAATAGACTCCCCCTGAAGAGAAGTCGGGGAAAAAAAGAATTGTCTCATAAAAGGTAATATCCATGGAAACAAAAACCTTACGGAGAGAAGGTGAGTAACACTTATAACCTTTTTGATTAGGGGAATATCCTATGAAGACACATCTGATGGATTTAGGGTCAAGTTTGGACCTTTGATGGGGAGGAATATGCACAAAAACCACACAGTCAAATATTTTGGGAGGAAGAAAAGAAAGAGCACTGAAAGAGGGAAAAGATTTAGTAAGACGGGATAAAGGAGAATGAAAATTTAGTACCCGAGAAGGCATCCGATTAATGAGATAACAGGCTGTCAAGACGGCTTCCCCCCACAGATATTTAGGGACATGCATCGTGAATAAAAGAGCTCGAGCAACTTCAATTAGATGTCTATTTTTCCTTTCAGCCACCCCATTTTGTTGAGGGGTGTTAGGACAAGAACTTTGATGAATAATTCCATGCTGGTTTAGGTAATCTCCAAGAACTGAATTAAAATATTCAGTACCATTGTCTGTTCGCAGAATTTTGATAGAAGTCTGAAATTGAGTTTGAATCATAGCATGAAAGTTTTTAAAAGTGGATGCTGTCTCAGACTTATCTTTTAAGAAATATACCCAACATACCCTAGAATGATCATCAATGAAAGTAATAAACCAACGAGCACCCGAGACATTTTTTTCACGAGCAGGTCCCCAAAAATCACTATGAATCAATGTAAAGGGAGAAGATTCATGATATTTCTTAGGAGAATAAGTGACACGAGAGTGCTTTGCAAGCTGACAAATATCACAAAGAAGGGAACTTGGCTTTTTATTGATAAATAAGTTCGGCAATAACTTCTGGAGATAAACAAAATTTGGGTGTCCCAACCTACGATGCCATAACAAAACATCATTACAGTCATCTGATAAACATAGAGAGTGGTTCGAAAAAATCCTCTTTTCACAATGAACATCTGTAAAATAGTATAGCCCTTCTTCCTCTCTAGCACTGCCAATCATCATCCCCGAGTCCTGTTCTTGAAAGATACAAGCATTTGCAGAGAACTTAGCAACACAATGCAACTCAGCAGTAAGTTTGCTAATAGAGATGAGATTACAAGTAAGAGAGGGAACATGAAGTACTGAGTTCAAAATAATATGCTCAGAAAGTTTAATGGATCCCTTTCCCGCAATAGTGGAGAAATTCCCATCAGCTGTTCTTATTCGTGACGGGTGATAGTAAGGGGTATAGGAGAAAAATAAGGTTGCATTACCTGTCATGTGATCAGAGGCCCCTGAATCAAGGATCCAACGATTACTACGTTCAACATGGAATGCCATACCTTTTTGAGCAACATGACTAGTTGCCTCAGCAGGTTGAGACATCAATTTCTGAAAAGACGAATTTTCAAAATTTTCAACGTCCATGGTTTTCTAACAACAGGTACCCAGAAAAAAGTTCCTCCAAATACAATGAGAGCAATCTTGGCTACAGTGAAACAGTAATTGCTGCAGTAATGAACAGTACTGCTACAGTAATGAACAGTACTGCTACGGGTCTTCTGTGGGCTGGCTCAGAATCTTGTTCTGAACCTAATGGTGGCCTTGGTTTCGTGGTTGGAGGTGTCTAGGTAAGGATTCTGGCTTGGGCAGTGGCTAAAACGAAAAAAAAAAGGAATAGGAAAATGACTTAAAATAAATCAGAACGGGGAAGAGACTGGAATATAACCAGCTCTGATACCATGAAGAAAAGAAGAAGTGGAAGAAGTGTTTTATCTGAATAATACTTTCTTGATTCATTGAGAGACCCAATGGGTCCTTTTTATATTGAGTACATCCAACTACCTCAACTACTTTAATAAATATACAACCACCAACTACATCAATAAATATACAACTACCAACTAAATATACAACTACCAACTACTTCAATAAATACTATCTATAATATTCTACATATTCTACAATATATATATATATATATGCATATGAACAGATGAGAACTCTATAAAATAATACATAGAAAGAATTCACCAATAGAATGGGTTGATTTCATAAAATTACTGGTTCATATAAATGGTTTACTTACTTCATATTCTTCGAATACATGATCCTCAATCATGACAATGCTTGGCTTAACTGTTGGAGGTGGACGGAGCAAATCCTGAGCCTCTTCCCAAGTAAGCTTCAGCTCCAGTGCATCCTGGCTATCAATAAGCAACCTCTTACTTTTTGACCCAATATTCCGAGTTCTTTTCTTCTCAGGAACCAGCACAGGTGGCAAAGGCAATCCCTCTCTTTTCCTGTTTTCAGGCATGTCAATATTATGCCAATTCATGTCACCACCAGCTGAGTTCCAATTTCTAGACAGCGCATTTAGGTGGGTTTCTGAACATCCCTTTTGTGACTGAAGAAGGTCAGAGTAACCACTTAATACAAGTAGATTCTCATAAACACCAGAATAGGAAGTTTCACTTGAATGAGAACCATTGGGCATATTAGACAGAAGTCTTTCCTGCTTAATAGGCGATAAATATCAATCTTAAAAGTTTGAGTTTGCTATATGAACTAAAAGTGGCCGTTACCTGTATTGCAGCAGAATTTGTAGCCTTCCTATACCCCATTATAAGTTTCCCCTCAGGTTCCATACGGCTAAATGTTACTGCAGCATTTTCACAAAAAAAGATTATTAAACATTTTTGTAATCAAAATTTGAAGATTAAACTAAAATTAAAAAAAAAAAAAATGTTGCAATAGAAAGTTAGAAATGGTTCATAAATCAATTGCTTTTCGTTGAAGAGAATTCAGTTTCCTATATCACCAAAAAAGGAGCAGCATTTGGTTCAATGCAGTAGGAACTTTGTCCCAAGAACAGTTAAAAAAAATAGCAGCAAAAATTAGAAAAACTTCATAAACTCTCTCAGAAGATAAAGAAAAGAAAACAAAAGACTTTAGGAAAATTATTTGCAGTCAGTATCTTAAAGAACAAGTCTTCTAGGTATGATTATTGATTAGTTAACACATTGAGCCATAAATATGGAGAAATTCTGATGAATGTTTCTGTAGAAGACAAATGTAGAAGAAATATAATAATCTCCAAAGTGAGCAAATGTCGCAGTACAAAAAGACTATCAGAAAAGAAAAGTTTCCATGTGGTTTATATATTCTTAGAATTGATAATTTAACAAGTTTAATGATTCTCGGTAGAATATACCAGTATCTCCAGCTTGCAATTGCATAGACTGAATGCAGGGGGTTACACCTTCCAAAACATACATCCTGCTGTTATTATTTGGCCAAAATCTAAATTGAAACATCCATTCTTTTCCTTTCACATCTTGGATTCGTAAAGGAAGACCCTCTGGTTGAGAGATATGAGGGAAATATGCCTGCACAATGTCCTCCTCTTTCAGTTCTAACGAATTACAAGACTCATCAAGAAAAATAACTTTTAATGAAATTATTGTTTAATACAAAAATGACAACAGTAGATGTCAGTTCAGCAGCTAAGTTAAGAGAACCTACTTCAGCACATGCTTTTGGTAGAACCAAGCGACCAATTCGACCAGCATCACTTGCACTAAGCATCTTTTCAAATAGTGGCACAATGGTGGAATTTGAACTTGAACATATCATGAATCATGGTTAAGGAAATATTTTTCCAAGGTAAAGATTAATCATCAAAACAGTAACAGGTTTATCACCCTGCATAAGTATCCTGCCAATAATTAGCAATTCATAGAACTAATTACAATGCTGGATACTCTCCTGATATTTGCTGCAACTCTTGATCTGTAATCCTAGGCCAATAACGTGGAAGCAACTGATTCCTTCCCCGTCCTTCAGCAGGAGGCCTTGCTACTCGAATCTGGGACATCATGCCTACATTTGTTTCTAATCCCGTTGCAAGAGTTGACCTCGGGGGCTTAGGTAAAAGATGGCGAGAGCTGGACCCCAATAGAAGTGAAGGTGATGTTTTACTTTGTTCCCTTTCATCAACAAGGGCACTATGAAAGGGGTTTGAATTTCCTAAAGGAGCAGCAAGGGTCATACTCAGATTTGTCTGTGCCAAAGATTCATATATATCTCGCATTTCAGTATCTGTCTTACAGTTCTCTACTTTGGCAGCCTTAGATGATCCATTAGACTCACGAAGAAATTGTGATACCAAAGTGCTTCCAAGTTCTCCAACAGCAGGCAAAACTACTTCTGGTTTCACTTCTGTATAAGGCCCATTTGCATCAACATTATGAGGTTTGAGCCAGCACCTCAGTCCATCATTCTCTGCATAATGTCCTCCTTGCATACCCTTCACATTTATTTGGTTAGCCAGAGATGTGCACTGCTGTGCACTGATATTTTTTACCTTCAATATCCCAGATCCATTAGACTTTTCATTGCTTGCAATCTGTCAAATTATCATTGTCAATTTTGGTAACTGTAGTTAGACTCAAAATTTCAAGCATCAACACAAAATAACCTACATGCAAGATGCAACAACCTATATATGGCAAAACAGAATAAAATTGCAGAGCTGGCATAACAAAGTTTTTTTATTCTACCTAGATTATAGAGCATTCAATTTACCCTCTAAATGATAATAAATAATTAACTTTCAACCTTACGATAAAACAAGATTCAGTCAAAATTAACCTGAAAATTAAGACCAGCTATCTAAGATCATAAATAATAATTTATTTGCGGAAGTTGTGAAGATCAATAAAGGTAATGATATTTCATCTGTTTCAGTAGTGGTGAACATAAATGATTAGTTGAATTTAAATAAGTAAAATGATAAATTTATCTTACGGGTTGAAGTCCTGAATTACTTGTGCAGTTTATACAGCTTACACCACAGGTATCTAGTAATTCAAGCTGAGACTTAGAAGCAATGCATCCGCAATGGAGACGCTGCAGATAATGAACATATAGGATCATTAAGCATAGTGTAGCAAATGGAAATACCGAATTTGGGGTAAACACACACACACACACACACACACACATACAATCTACCTTGCCACATGAAGTGCACTCTCTCCAACCAGAATCGTTTGAGTGGAACATATCACAAAACGTTGATTGCTCATAAGCAGAACTAGAGAAAAGAAATTTCAAAGTGAGAATCTGACCATGAAGTTGTCTCTTGGTAATGTCCAACTTCAATTAAGTAAATAAGGTTTGCAAACTTATTGATCAGAGTCAATAATAATCTAAAGGACACATGTTATCTAGATAACATATTACAACTTATACAAGCACAAGTGTGGAAATGAAAATTATGAGAGCAACTTGTCACGATGTTTTCACTCAGTACTTGCTTGAAAACTATATCATCAGACCCCACTAGTGGAAAAATTTCAACAATCTATTATGGAATTATCATATAATGTGATCCCGTGCTCATTCTGTGTTTCCTAACCAGATAATTATTTTAGGAACCGCTCAAGTTCAACATGATTTTGAGAATGAAATTTCCAGCCAGAAGAAAACTCATTTCCAGTGTATCTCAAACAAGCTTCATATTCATACGAACCGATTATACAATTATCTGGTTTTTCATTTCTTTTGTTTTTGTTTCTTTTCCCATTTTTCAGGAAATCTTATGTTATTTCGTATTTATTACCAATAATTTATTTTGGTCATTTATTCAAAATATCAGGAAAATTAATACCGTATAACACGAATATGCGCCATAAACAACGTTTTAATCGTGGTCCGGAGCCACAATTACGGCATAGAGACCCAATTTTACCTATGATGACAACAACAACCGACTACACAATATTTCACAAAAAAATAAATAAAGAAAAAGAAAAAGAAAAAGAAATTAAAAAGCAAAAAGGTGTGTAAACACAACTACACCACCAACTTTGATAAATCGGGAGGAAAATAACAAAGTAGCCAAAGATAAAAAACTTCGGTTAAGAAACAATGAAAATAACAACTTTAAAGTAAATTTGGAAAAAAAAAAAAAATACAAAATACAAAACAACGACCAATTGACAATAAGAAAGTCGTAAATCACATATACTGTTGGGTCCGTACAATCTCATATCAACTCACGCGTGTTAATTTCAGCTGACGCGCATTAATTTGAAATCTAGAGTATCATTACCCGCACTTATCACAGAGATCGGCGAAATCGCCGGATCGCAGGGCCCAACCTTTGCGCCACCGAATCGACGTTGAGGTGGCGCATGCCACGTTCATGCAACTTTTTGACTCCATGTTCAACCTTAATTCCACAAGCTCCACTACACTGCAACATCCAATCACAACAAAAAACAAAAAAAAAATCAAAATTAAAAACCCTAACACTCCCCTCACCTACTCTCCGAGTTCGAAACAGGGAACGAAATCTAGCAACGGAAAAGCGACCATACCGAAATTAAACCGAAGAACGAAGCTCGAGTTGCTACTCCTAGTCACCGGAAGTTCACGAGAAGCAGTTTCGTTCGCCGGCGGTTTCTAGGGAAGAGGCGGCGGCAGCGCGAGTGCTGCGGTTTCGGATTCGCATTCGCGGAGCAGAGCGGGAGAGCGATTTTGATCGGGATATTGTCGGAATCTGGCCGGAGAAGCAGAATCAGATGGAGATTTGAATCGACGGTGACCGGAGAGAAGAAGCTAAGGGTGGAGCAGAGAGAAAGAAAGAAGGCGTGTGCATGCAGAATAAGAAAGGATAAAGAAAGAGGCACCAAAATGCATGCACGATGTGTCGATGATTATACTTCAAGACTCGGCCAACTCTGCCACTTGCTCCCCTTTTTTTATTTTTTTATTTTTTTTTTCATTGTTATTTTGGTAATACTTTTAATTATTATTGTCATTATTATTCTTGTTATATTATTGTTATTTTTTAATTTCTTTTTTAAATTATAAAATTATTAAATATTGATAACAAATAAATAAAAAATTATTTGACTAATTATTAGGTCGTGTAATAGTCTCATTTAATTCATAATAATCTAATAATTATCAAATAAGGAACATATTTATCTTATATTTTTTGTTTTCCTTTTTCTTTTGGTAAACATTTATAATTTTCACTTCTTGACAGTTTTTCTTTTATTCAAGCATTTACTAAGTTTAATTGGAGTATTGCATAATATTTTTTAATAAGGGAAAGGGATATTTTGATTATAGTGTAAGAATAAAAAATCTTATTCAATCATGAATCTCGATGGATTTAATTGTTGTAATTTATTTAGATTAATAATTAATTAATTGGTACAATACAAATAAGTATAATTGATAAATGTACATAGATCAATAGTTGAAATGTAACGTAAGGAGATAGATCTTTTGATTTTGATAATAATATTTTTTACTAATTATGTGAACGTTGATCTTTATGGATTTGATGGTTGTAATTTATTTAGATTAATAATTAATTAATGGTATAATTTAATAAAGGAAAAAATATTTCTCCTACAACAAAAGATAAAATTATCTCTAACAATCCTAAAATGAGTTTTAGGGTTTTAAGAAAAAAATACAGGGTTTTTTGAAAATTTTATTTTTCTCTTATATTATGAATTTTATTAAAGTATCCTGTATTTTTTTTTTAAACCACCAAATAATGTCTTTTTTGAGATTTGTAGTAAATAATTTTATCTAATATTACAAAAAAAAATCGTTACTCTCTTTAATAAATTATAACTATCAAATGATAAATCAATGATTAAGATTTGAAGTGACACTTTTTATTTTTATAACAAAATTAAAAGATCTTACCCCTCTTACAAAAGGAAAGAGATATTCTACCCGTAAGAAATCAAGTATTTTCCTTTTTCTCTTGTTTTTCATTGCGATTGATTGGTTAGTGATAGGGATTAACTAAAATTTTATGTTTTAACTATACCATGATTTTTGTTTTTCTGTCATAAAACACAGTAATTTTAACTAAAAATTTATGTTTTTTAAAATAACAAATACTAATCTCATATATTAAACAGCCGAGGAATGGTAAGAATTAATTAAGAATATTTTAGAAATTTTATTTATTTTTTTGTTATATGAATTTTACTAAAATATATTAATTTTCTCAACCTTTAAAACCATATAATTTTAAAGTTGTTGAATATAAATTTATTTCCTCCGACGAAAGGATAAATCCTTTTTTAATATACATAAAATATTTCAGAAGAAGTTGAGTTGTTACTTTTTATTATTATTGACTCGTTTATCAAAATTAATTAAATTAAAAAAAATCGAAAGTCCAAAGTAGCAGATAAATGGATTTATCATCTATCATTTAACATGACCACAAAAGATTTCCTACACACAACATTTTGTGGAGCTCGCAGCAAAAAAAAAAAAAAAACTTCAGCACGCAAAACGAATCTCTATAACATAATACAATTACTTTTCTTATAACATAATTTTTATAAAATCCCAATAAATACGTAGAAATAAAGCGTGTAAAGGGAAAATGCGACGGCTAGCACGGCAAAATGCGCCACTTAAATATACTTCCTTTTCATCAATTTACTATATTATCCTCCATTAAGACAGCATCGGAGCATGTATTAATAGATCAAAGAGGTTTGTCGTTTTTGGTCCATTAGTCCAATTTCAAATTGAATGTGGACCCAATTTGACATTGGTCAAGGATCGTGAATTGGTACGATTGCAATTTCGGAACCATGTTGCTAGTTACAATTTTTAAATACAAATAAACCATATATTAATTTATATTTAATGTAATTATATTATTTGAGAGGATTTAATCATATAAAAGTAAATTAATTATGATAAGAGAAGAAAAAAATTAAAATAAAAAGATAAAATTATAACTATTCATTTATTCGTTAATGGTTGAAATCATTTTACATGCCCATGTTTAATAACACATAAAAGAATTTATTTTTATTTATTATAATAATTATTATTATGACGTAATTGTATGGGGTGATGACGAGAGGGAAACGTAAATGATAATGAGGAGTCACGTCGATAGTTGAAGGACAATGACAGAGCCATCTCCATCAGAGTTTGCGGCACGCGTGATCGGTGCGGCAGCGAAATTTCAGAACGTTAACCAAACTTCTTCTTGGTTTCCGTTTGTTTTCCACTCACCTAATATAAAGTCACGATGTCATAATTTTAATTTTATTATAAAAAGTTTGTCAAATAAGGGATAGGATTCGTTTACAATTTTTTTTTTACAAATTACACTAAGTACGATCGGTCGTACACTGCATGATTAAAGTATGACCAGTCGTACTTAATTTAGTTTGTAAACAAAAAAGTTTATAACCAAAAAAGTTTATAAATATAACATGCTCCGTCAAATAAATAATATCTTTAACAAATAAATACGTGAAGGTTATATTTATAATTTATTTTTGTTTTTAATTTTTTATAATTATATTTTATTAGTTAATTTTTGTCAATTAACTATTATTATTTATTATAATTTAATAATTAATTAATTTAATTTGCAAAAATAATAATTTTTAATTGATAAAATTCAACGGTTAAGATATAATTATAAAATATTATAAACGAAAATAGATTATAAATATAACTTTCAACAATAAGTATATATATACAATGAAACACACAGCAGAACTTGTAGAGTTAGATTATAGTGTATTTTTATTATACCAAAAAAAAAATAGTGTATTTTTGTGGGGTTCGATTTTTCTGTATTTATTATAGAGAAATTGTCAATATTGAATTCAAAATAGCATCATTTTGAGACAAAAATTAAGATATTTTTATAATTATAATTTATTTCAGGATTATAATAAAAGTTTGATATTTTTCATTTTAAATGACATAAGTTATGACATTTTAAGAGATAGATAGACACAAGGAATGAAAATCATGGGAGAGAAAGTGGATGGTTTTTTGTTAATTTAAATTTTAAATAAAAATATTTTTTTGTGTTTATCTCTCTCTTAAAATGACATAACTGTATGTCATTTAAAATGACAAATACTTTTTTCTTATAATAATCTATCACATTATAATTTTTTAATTTCTTAATTATTTAATTCAAAAAGTGAATAACCAGAGATAACTTATCTAACAGAAACGTTAAAGCCATTTTTGGAAGGCTTTTTTTTCCTCATGACCTAACATTTTGTACGAATCATATTCATCAAAAAATATCTTGTTGTTATAAAAAATATATATATATATCTTGTTGATTTTATCTGGTTGTTATTGGAGTTGAATTCGCAAGAAAGGCAGAAAGTTTTGTCTTCAACAACCTTATGATCGAAAAAAGGACAGTTCATTTACGATGTTGGCACTTAATTGCTATTAATTGGTATTCAATGGATTTATGTTGCCGCAATCAGTGCCTTATTATCAAAGCATGGGTTTCTTTTTCTTTTTTCTTTTTTTTAATAAAATTCTTTTTGTTATGACAAAGTCGGTTTTTTTGACCTTTATGACCCTTAATAAATAATTAATTACCAATTTGTCCTTCATTTGAAACTAATTTGAAAATTTAACCCCCCTCAAAAACATAACACCAATCTGCCCCTGTTTGACCGTTGACTACAAAGCCTACCCGGGTACACTCCTTCCTACCCGGGTATTTTTTGAAAATTTTTATCTACCCGGGTATAGTTCTTGAATCTGAGAATTTATTTGAATTATTTACCCGGGTAGGGAGGAGTGTACCCGGGTACGATATTTCACTTGAAAGAAATTAGATACCGATTTAATTCAGCATCAAGCTTCTGAAAACTTTGAACAACGCATGCATCTCGAAAACCACAATTGCCCTTCTATGCAGATGTAGCGTTAATATTGGAATTCGTTTCTTTTTAATTCGGGAACATGCTTTAGAATGGATGGCAGGCATTAAAACTGCACTAATTTAAAAGTAACATTTAATACTAATTAAGCGTAACATTTAATCTGATAAAAGTGACGTCAACTTAATACAAACCGCCACCGCCAACATCAATTGTAACGTTAATTTTATTGACGTTTCGTCTTGTAAAGGGCGCTAGAAATAGTGTCTTTCTTATTTGCAAAAATAAAAAAGAAATAGTGTCTTTCTCATTTATTCGCAACAAAATATTCGACGTCACCACCTAAAGTAATGTTTTTGTAACCCGATTATTGTGCTTTTTTTTTAAAATTTATTTGTAATCTTTTTATTGATTTAGTTTTTTAGCCAGTCACGTGCATACGAAAACGAAAATAGAAGTTATGAATAATCATAAAAAATGTAAAATTTATATCCTGTGGAAATATTAATCTACACGTGATTGAACATAGTTCTGTGAGTTACTATATAATGATTAATTTATTTTGTATTAAAAATAGCTTATAATAGATTAAAATAATTTTCTCAATTGTCTTTTAATCCTTTGAAGATAGAGTTGAACCGATTGCTCGAGGCTAAATAGTTCGACGTAGTAAATTGACCGTAACTTTTCATTGGGACGTCAAATTTAGGTGATTGCACTTCTTTTTTTCCATATAATTTGCTATCTTACATAGGGCTTTGTCATTGATGAGATTTTTTTATTATACTAAAGATA